ATACCGTGCTTCTTCCTCCTCCCTTTCCCCACAGCACATACACTCGTGCTTAACAGAGTTTCCCTCTTTCCCCCCCTCTTTTTATCCCCTCAAATCAGGCAAAAATTGAAGTCGGCTGTAACGGCCGGTGCCGTAAAGCGAGGCGCGGGCGGTGCGACAGTTGGGAAGGCCCTCTCGCTGGCGGCGAGCGAAGATGGCGGCGGGGGAGGTGAAGTCGGTGCTGTTCGTGTGCCTGGGTGAGCGAGGCGAGGGGAGAGGGGAGGCGGGCCTTCTCCCGTCGCTCTTCGGTCAGGGGCACCGGGCGAGGGTGTGAGGAGCGCGGTAGGGCGGGGGCCGCTGCTTGGGGAGCGGTGCTGGCTGGTGGGGCTGCGGGCAGGCCCGCCCCGGTGGCCGCAGGCCGAGGGTGGCTCTGCCTTCCCGGGGTGGGGCGGAGCGGTGGCCGAGAAGGGAGGCAGAAAGCAGTATCCACGTCTCTTCCTATCTTTGTGATAAGTCGGAGTAATCAATACGAAAGGACACCTGAAATCCAGTATCAATATAGGCGGAGGTTGTCTGTGGGGGAGAGCGGCTCCTCAGTACGCATAAACCGCTCACGGGCATAAACCTCTCAAGGGCAGGCCTGAGGGTGGTCGTCAGTAGCTTTCTGAAACGGGCTGCCCGGTCCTGAGCTCCAGAGTAGCAAAGGGGGAAGGAGGACCCGCCAGCCGAGGTCCTTGCCCATCCGGGCCGGTGCCTCTTGGAGGCGGCTGTCTGTCCGAGCTCCCGGCAGGAACAGGGGCGAGGAAACCGTGACAGGAACGACTGGCGTCAATGGAGCGGCCTCTGTAAGAAGAGGGGAAAGATATTAGGACTCTTAAGTAAGGAAGGGAACCTGGTGAAAGGTGGAGGTGAGTTTGATCTATGAAATTATGGCCACCGTGAAAATGAATGAAAAGAATAAGACTTTTTTTGAAGGGCTACTTAGATGAAGAACTAGGAAACATTCTAATTTTTGTTTTTTTTTAAAGAGAAGATATTCTGTGTGTTTAAGTTGTGAATCTTATGCCACACGAAGTCATGGAAAACAGATCCCCCCAGATAAATGGGATCAGAAAGGGTTTGGGTGCTCTCTTGAAGCTTAAGACAACTTATTACTGATAAACAAGGTGATCTTCTGCATGTTCACAACCAACATATTGCTAACCTAACCTGACTACATGGATTACAGGGCTATGCCTCATTTTGTACATGCTTTCTCTAAACATCTGCTTCTGCTCCCTTTTGGGAATAGCAAGGTAGATGGCTCTTTGCTGTGATCTAGGAGGGCTTTTAATGTTATCTGCTTCCTAGCCTTTATAATCTTACCTGTGTGCTCAGAGTTGATCCTTGTGAATCCCTGGCCTTTTGCCAGTTTTGTTACAAAACCATTGGTTAATATGTTGTTGGTTTGTTGGTTTTTTTGCTATCTGCTTTTCTGTTGTAACAGGAGAAATGCAGATTAATTGAATAGCAAAACAAGAGTTTAGTTCTGTGAAATATGTTCTGATGTTTACCTTAGAGTAAAATCAGCCCCTAATACTAATTTAGGGAAAACACTCTTTAGTAAGGGATTATCAGTTGGCATATGTTTGGGAGCCAGTAGCCTAGACAAAATTTTTGTATAAAAACACCTAACTAATATGCATCCTTCTTTCCAAACACGGTATTCTAAAGGCATTAGCAATCTTTACAAAATGATTCATACATATGGGTTTGAAGCCCATGATGGTGATTTGCACTCTAGTAAGTTCTTAATCAAGTTGAGTCTCTGTGGAACTGTTCTAGTGGAAGATAATATAATAATTTAGGTATGGAGTGAAATTATTAATACTAAGCTTGAGGAAAGGGTGAACACGTCAGGACCAATATAAATGGGATGGATTTTTAAAAATGTTTTAAATACCTTTTAACTTTCTCCTGTGCTACTGGGTTATAAAAAAGTAGTCATAATGGTATGTGACATGGGCTGAGGCCAGTGGTATGGGGTTCAACAAGGCCAAGTACCGGGTCCCGCACTTGGGTCACAACAACCCCATGCAGCACTACAGGCTTGGGGAAGAGTGGCTGGAGAGCTGCCCAGCAGAAAAGGACCTGGGGGTGTTGGTCAACAGCTGGCTGAACATGAGCCAGCAGTGTGCCCAGGTGGCCAAGAAAGCCAACAGCATCCTGGCCTGTATCAGGAACAGTGTGGTGAGCAGGATTAGGGAAGTGATCATCACGCTGTACTCAGCACTGGTGAGGCTGTGCCTTGAGTACTGTTTCCAGTTTGGAGCCCCTCAGTGCACATTGAGGTGCTGGAGTGGGTCCAGAGAAGGGCAATGAAGCTGGTGAGGGGTCTGGAGAACAAGTCTTATGAGGAGCTGGGGTTGTTAAGCCTGGAGAAAAGGAGGCTGAGGGGAGATTTTGGAGCTCTCTACAACTGCCTAAAAGGAGGCTGTAGTGTGAGGTGGGTGTCAGCCTTTTTTCCCAGGTAACAAGCAATAGGACAAGAAGAAATGGCCTCAAGTTGTACCAGGGGAGGTTCAGATTGGATATTAGGAAAAATTTTTACATTGAAAGTATTGGAACAGGCTGCCCAGGGAAGTGGTTGAGTCACCATCCTTGGAGGTATTTAAAAGACAGGTAGACGTAATACTTAGAGATATGGTTTAGTGATGGTTTGTAGTGTTTTTAGTGGTAGGTTGATGGTTGGACTCAGTGATCTTAAAGGTCCCTTCCAACCTAGGCGATTCTATGATTCTACTTGACAGGAAAAGCACTTCTTTTTTCCAGTCAAATATATACTCTTTCAGTTAAGTTTTAAAGGCAACTTGTTTCTTCTTCCTGCTTGAAGTTTGCAAATTTATTTTTGTTAGTCTTGAAGAGTGATACTAATGCCTTAATAGATTTTTTTTCTCCTAAATTTTATTAGAAATAGTACCTATGGTTATTGCTGAAAAGAGTACTAAACAGATTTCTAGAATGTTTGTCTGTAGTATTCTGTGCTGGTTAATGACACACGTTAAATCTGAAGTTTGCTGCATTCAGTGAGAGCTAATCCCCAGAAAGACAAGCCTTCCTGAAAAATTACATTTTCTTTCTACATTATTTTGGAAGAAACCTATTACTGAAATATCTGTTGACTGTGTTCTTTGGTTGTGATAAGGAGATATTCATCACACAACAAAATACAATCTAGTTAATGTGCATCACTACGTTAATGAGAAGGGTTTCTCATCACTGAGAAATAAATGAAGCACACAGGAACATATGCAATTATAGTATATGAAAAGGCACTGGGAAAGAATTTTTTTTTAAGGCAAAGAAATAATTAAAACTGGAGGTGAACCAAAATGCAGTTTGCTCTTTTTGCTCTTATGTAGCTCATCTAATTAATGGTAGAGCTCCAGAAATGAGCTGCTTATGATGCTGCGTTACATAAATCAGCCTCTTTGTCTCTGATGACTTCTCCACTGTAACATAACAAGCTGCATAGGCATCTTGGATCAGGCACTGGCCTACTGAGCTCCTCCATGTGTGGAGGAACAGCTGTAAGGCTAGGTGCATTATATGCATTATAGGCATTTAGATATAGCCAGATACAAGGTTTCATGGGACAAAATGCTGCAGAATGGAAAAGCAGTAGGTTGGATGAGACATTGAAGAAGTCATGGAAAACAGCTGCTGTAATGAGGGTTCTTAAAAAGCTGACAAAAAGAAATAATGCTTTTTTTTTTGATGAAGAAGAGCATGTTAGATACATGTAAGGAAAATACCTTTCTTCTGTGCAACATTGGTAAGATAGCTGTAAAAATACAGTGCCTTATTTAAACTGTGTTTCAGAATGATGCAGAAGTACTAGAGAGTTGAAAGCACAATTGTAAAAGTGATCTTGGAATTGGAAAACAAGATTAAGATGTATGCAGTCCTTGTGTAGACATCCCCATTTAGATATCTTGAGCCAAAACTGAGTTCTGCTTAGATGTGTGTGTGTGTATATATATATATATACAGGCACACATATGCTAATAGTTCAGTTTCTGCGACAAATCCCACTGAGTGTTGGTAGTAGGGGAGATGTATGGAAGAAAGATGATGTCATTTAGGTAGCTGTATACTTAGGTGTTTATCTGAAAGAGTTTAAGTATTAAGTGATCAATTAAGTGAAATCGATTGTGAATGAAAGGGCCAAGGAATTTGAACTAAAATCAGAGCCCTTACAAAGCTAATGGAATGTTTAGTGTGACAAGATAGCCTTAACTGGGCAGAACTAGGAATCATGATGACATTCAGACAGACAGGAATTTGAGTACAGAATGGAATAGGATGACCAGTAAGTTTTGAACACTTGCTTATGAAGGGGACCTGATGGATGATGCAAATGATACTGGGAAGCAGTATTACAGTTACTCCAGTGAACTGACTATGCGTGGAAACATAAGTAGAATTAAAAGCAGCTTTTAAACGTGAGAGAGTGAACTCTTGTAAAACTTGTGTTACAGACAGCAGACAGAAAAACAAAGGAAGAGAAAAGCATCTCTTTGCATTTGGGGAAGGTCTGAAGGAGTTGGAGAGATGAGTAAGGAATAACGAAGATACAGAAATGATTGAGAGAATAGATTATTAGATCAGCAGTACTTAGAGATGAGCTATGGACCTGAGCATGAAATGGATTCAAGTTGTCTTTCCTGTCAGTAGAAGCAATGCTTCCATTTCTATATGGAAATGGGTCAAAGATTACTGCGCTGACTGGAGTAAAAACTCAAAAAGCTAAGCATTGTCTTGGATAATTGTCAGTGGAGTCTTTGTCCCTAGAAATGAGTGAGAAAGCATGATTCCATGGAAGTGATCAACAAATCATTCCAGTACTGATTCTGTGATTGAAATTTAAGGCTCTTATGATCATATTTGGAGATGTTTGTAGGATTTATTTCAATGAACAGACTGTCTAGTTTTCTGTGACTGAAAATGTCACTACAGCTTAAAGAGCTTGAAATGTGAAAAATGAAGGGAGAAGGTGGAGATTCAGAGCACTTAATATTGTTGTCGTCTACATAAAAAGAGCATGATCGGTCAGATACACAACAAAGGAGAAAGGAATATTAGAGGAGGATAAGTAACAAAGATAGGTGTAGATAACATTTTAGGAATATATGGTTCAAGTCAAAGGAGGAAGGTAACCTCCCTATGAATCTTTTTGTGAGATTCCACCCTTCGTTCCCCTGTCAATCCATAACTTAGGAAATGCTGTGCATCTGAGAGGAAAGTCAATGAAGCCTGGAGAGACAAATGTGGGATGTAAAACTGGATATGAAATGGATAGAATTTATAGTGGGGAAGGCATGATGACCAGAAGACAAGGGCTGAAGTTTGCATGTGTCAGTGAGATGAGGGGCTTTACATTATGGTAACAGTCGCAAGGAGTAGCATGGCTAAACAGAATTGGTTAGGGTGAAAATAATATTGCAGAGTGTGTGGAGAAAAGAGCTTCTATTAAGTCAGTTCTGGGATTCTGTCTGTAGTCCCCAAGAATAGATTTGATGGTGATTGCAGTTCCGTAATAGTGTTAATGCCTCCGGTAATATCTGGGATGTGTCATCATGGAAGACATTAATTTTTAAGTCACAAGCTAGGTTACGGTTTGTTTCAAAAAGAATATAGCTGCAATTTCTAGTCATTGCTAGAAGCGGTAATTAATATAGTCAAAGATGGTATTTATGGCTTTTATTTTAAGTAGTGAGCAGGTTATAGAAGAGTGAAAATTTGGGAAAAGTCATGCAATCCAGGTAAAGCAGAAGGTTAAATAGAAGAAGGCCATGAAGGATTTATTTCAAAAGTACCATTTTGAAATTCTGGGAGCTAGTTGATTAATTAGTAGGACCAAAAGTGTTAATCATTGGTTATAACTGAAATTTTGAGTATAGTAATGAAACTTACTGTTCGTGCACAATGGCGTGGGATCATTCATATGTAGGAAGAGTATTGGACAGGAAGAAGTGGATGGCCTCAATAGCTGATGTAATGGAAACAGAATTTAATAGTTTAGAAAGAAGACTTAAAGGTCACCTGTGTGAAACAACAGAGAAAGAGGGGGAATGGAAAAATTAGAAGCGGGGGATTATGATCACAAATTTGATACTCATGAAGGAGTGAAATGTGATTGTGGAAGTTATTTAAGGTTATTTTCCAAAGAGCTAAGTAAATATTTCAGACTTGTTTTTTTTCTTTTATAAAACAAATTGGTAAAATCTTTTGTTGCAGTGTAGTCTGTGGTTTTATTTGTCAGTATTCAAGAAAAATAAATTCAAATTAGAACAAGTGCAGAGTCAGCTTAACTGGAGTGATTAAGGGTCAGTTAATTTCATGAGGAGACTGAGAGCTTGGTTTGTTTAGTTTAGCACAGCTGAGCTTAACAAGGGTTCTGTTGAAGGAAAGAAAGGTTTTTAAGATAGAAAGTGATGTTAACCAAGATCAGAGGAGCATAAGCTTCCAAGAGTAAATATTAAGTGGGAATTGGAAGGTTTTAGTCTACTGAAGGAAATAAGTATCTGAATAGCCTTTTGAGACGGATTATACTTTTTAAAAGAGAACTTGATGTGTTTGTAAGAGAAGTGGTGCTGTGTATGCCTGCAACATCAAAGGATTGGGCTCATTGATTATAAAGGCTCTTTTCTTGGTATGCTACCATTTCCGTCTGTTTCCTATTAAAGTTATATTGTTTAATGCTTAACTCACTCAATTAAAGGTGAGATTAACTTTCTAATTTATTATCATATTCTGTAACATTGCTATAATGAGTAATTAATAACCTCTTTTCTCACTTTATAAATAAAACTAACTTTTTCCTGTTTTATTTTTATTCCAAGACTGATTTACTGTCTCTGCTTGGAATAAACTAGTTCAAACAAAGTTTTCAAAAAATTTGGAACAATTATTTTCCTGGGGTGTTTTTTGAGCTTGTGTAATTAATTTGATTTTGGGGGTTTTAGAATTGGTATCTGGAAGCTGTTCTTGATGAGGGTTCAGTTTGACTTGCAGTGACTTCACTTCAGCAGTCAGAAATATTTCTACTACAGGTTGTTCAGCCATTTGGTTCCGTAGTGGTGGTGTCTGTGTTTTGGAAGTGTCCAAAAATTTTTGTTAACAGGTAGATAGTAATGTAAATGCTTCAGGCAAATATTCATGATTCTCCAGTAAAACATTAGTTGAAATTTGCCAGTGTGTAGGAAGATTTGAAGATACAGATTTTTGGCTGCCATATAGATTCTGCAGTTTTTCCTGGTCTTCTGTGATCACAGATTGTTTGTGCAGGAGAAGAAAAGAGCGATGTGCTTACACAATATTCCTCCTATTTATTTTAATAAATTCTATCTTATCATGTAATGATATGCATTTCAAGAGACTGATAGACAGTATAGAATCATAGAATAATTTAGGTGGGAAGGAACCTTCAAAGATCATCTAGTCCAACCGCCCTGCCATGGGCAGAGACATCCCAACCTGTCCTTGAACACTCACAGTGATGGGGCAACTTCCCTGAGCAACCTGTTCAAGTGTCTCACCACCCTCATTGTAAAAAAAAAAAATTCTTCCTTATGTCCAATATAAATCTACTCTCTTTTAATTTCAAACCATTGCCCCTTGTCACTACAGCACCCGTTATATATAGAAAGGCTGCAGTAAGATGTTCCTGGTCCTTTTCTCCAGGCTGCACAACCCCAGTTCTCATTCAGAGGTGTTCCATGCTTCTGATCATCTTTGTTGCCCTCCTCTGGAAGTGCTCCAGAGGTCTATGTCTTTCTTGTCCCAGATCTGGACACAGTACTCCAGGTAGGGTCTTGAGAGTGGAGAAAAGGGGCAGAATCACCTCCCTCGACCTGGTGGCCACACTTTTTTTGATGCAGCCCAGGATACAGTTGTCTTTCTGGGCTGCAAGCGCACATTGTTGGCTCATATCCAGTTTTTTACCCACTTGGGTTACCCCCAAGTCCTTCTTGGCAGGGCTGCTCTCAGTCCCTTCATCCCCCAGGCTGTGTTGATACTGGAGATTGTCCCAACCCAGGTGGAGGACTTTGAATTTCCACCCTTGCAGAATCTCTTGGGTTATAATAACATCAGCAAGCTGCGTTTTACCTAAGTAAATAAAAATCTTTAATCTGATCTGTGCTGACAAATCGACAGAATTATTGATTTGTTTGTTTTTAATCATCTGAAATTTCACTTTAATCTCCTGTTTCTGTAGGAAACATTTGTCGCTCTCCAATAGCTGAAGCAGTTTTTAGAAAACTTGTAACTGATGAAAAACTTGAAAATAAGGTAAGCTATTTATTTCTTCTCCTGCCTAAGAAATAACTGTTTCATAGCCAGTTTGTAGAAATACAGGCAGTAAGAAAGGAAATATAAAAATACAAATTTGTTTTTCCTGTAGTGGAGGATAGACAGTGCAGCGACATCTACCTATGAAATAGGAAGCCCTCCTGACTATCGAGGACAGACTTGCATGAAGAAGCATGGCATTACCATGAATCATATTGCCAGGCAGGTACTGTACTTTAATTTTCTTTAAATGTGTGTATGTATTTGTTTTGTTGTTACAGTGGATGACAGACAGTGCTGCTGTTTCAGACTGGAACGTGGGGCGCTCCCCAGATGCAAGGGCTTTAAGCTGTCTAAGAGATCATGGCATTGAGACAGCACATAAAGCACGGCAGGTAGAAGAGAGTATATTTTCTTTCTTATTCATACCCATGCTTTGTTTACCCCCAACCATTGCAATCGCAGAAATAATTTGACAAATGCATGGTTAAGCATCAAGTAATAAATACTATATGCAGTTTTTCAAAGGACTCCAAAGTGGCCTAACTCTTCTAATTGAGGTTAGTAAGTTTCTTGTTACTAAGCTTCATTAGAAGTAGAACTAGGAAGCATTGGAGCAGTTTCTGTGTTATAGAAAAATCCTGCCTTCAAATGTTTAGTATTTGGGGCATTTTTCTGGAAGATACTCTAGTAATCGGTGATGCTTCTTTCAGCAAGGAACTGTAATACCTGTTCACCCATCTCAAAAAGCTTCTGGTCTTGCATGAAGATCTTTTAAAAAATTTAGAGCACTAAATAATTACAAAGGCACTCAAACCTAAGATTAGTAGCAGGGTTGGTGGCAACTTCATAGAAAAATGTAACCTTGGAGCATTCTGAAGTCAAAGAAAGGTTTGTCACTTAGTAAAATCCTCTTAAGTTTTACCAAAACTCATCTCAGTTTTCAGTAAAAAAGGACATTTATTTCCATGCTGTTTTCCAGAGAGATCAGAAATAAATGTGTCTGCATCTATTTAAATCATTCAGACACTCAAATAAATGCACATAACTTACTTCAGTTAAATATTCTCTGGATACAAGATATTCCTTTAGGGCTTGACCTCTACTTAGCCAGAGTTTATGCCACTAGTTCTTGTACTGACAAAAAGATCAAGTAGTCTTGTTATTATCTTCCATTTCTGTTCCCTTCAGAATTTTACTAGACCTTACTGAGGTCATACTTACTTTCTTCACTTTCAAAAACTGCATATTTAGTTTTTTAACTTTTTAAAATAAATTCCCTCAATTACTCAATTGCCCTCTGCTGACCTCTCCTGATGCTAATCTCTGTTACATAATAAGACAAACAGGATTGAGCACAACATCGTTTCAGCTTTTCAATGTTTTACTAGTAGAATAATTACTAGGAAAAGCATGTTATAATCTTTTCCTGTTACAAGTTCTGGATTTACTATTTATTAGTGCTTACAAACAGCATTATTTATCATTATGCAACCTAAATGGTACGGAAACTAATCAGTCAGTGTTTCGGTCACAGTAGTGTAACATGTCTGTATTCTTAAAAGCCAAGCCTTGGAAACTTGAGAACTGTGCTTGGCTATTACTAGAGTGGTTTATGAGCAGTTAAACTAAAGCAAAACATCCAAAACCAGTTGATCCTCTGCCTTGAAACAAATCTATGTATCTTCCTTTGGCAGAGGGGGAATGAAAACACTTTAATGAAGACATATGCTTATACGTTCTGACAAATGAAGAGATTTTTTTAAAGCAGAAGACCCTAAAATGTTACATATACAGGAAGAGAAAATTAACAAGAATGAGACAATAAAATGAAAGTCTCACAGGATGAAAATTTGTCTAAAATATCCCAGTACTGTGGACCTGATATGGGCTCATGGTACTTTTGGAAAGAGAGGGACTCAGTAGTGTAGAATAGGACTTTTCAGAGTGGTCAGGTTAGTACAAGTGGAAGTGTATTTGTTTCATTATTAGAGACAAACTCAAGGATAGAATTTTGTGTATGACTTGTTTCAGAGCAGATTAAGAAAGATTTAATACAGAAGCTGCAGAAATAGAGAGGAGGGATTTGTCTTCTGTTGCCTTTGAAATACTGTCATAAGATGACTACCTCATGCAATTATCCTCTTCTCTCCTGTGGAAAACTGTTACCCACCCAGTGAAAGGCACTTTCTTTCATGTAATTTTGTGCATAATTATGATAATCATGGATTGCATCTTTTTTTATTCAAAACTGACAAAATGCTACAGGAATGATTTATGTAAAAGAGAATGTTAAATTGGTTACATCCTACCATCATATACAGTGATTGTTTAAGTGAATTTTAAGTGAAAAGTGAAGTATAAAAATAAATGTATGTATTTATATATAAAACATTAACATTTTAGTTGATGATAGGTTGCTGTATGTTTATGCACCAATTGAAATTCCATACGCTCTTAGTCTTCATGCACAAAACAGATAGCTATTAATCAGTTTCACTTTTATTCATGCTGAGGCCAGAATTTCTGTATGACTCATACTGTGCATTTGCCTTAAATATGAAATTGAGATTAGAGGAAGGTTGTATTAAACACTGTTTCACAGCTGGATAAATTTGAAGTCTACTGTCTCTTTTTCATTTTTAGATAGAGAAAAGGAGATTTCCCTTCTGTAAACAAAAGGAAATGTTTAACAAATAAATTGGAATGATGGTGATGTGTTTTATCCATTTTTAATAAAGACATCTCCATGTCTTTAATAATGATTATATGCATTTTAATTTAAAGTTATTTTTGTCTGTGTAGTTCCATCCAAAGCTGACTACTTGAGCTCTCCATTACTTTTATGTCACCAGTTTCTTCCCCCCAAAATACTAGTTTTCATAGTTTTGAGGAATATCTTCTGTTCACTGGAGTTTGCTCAATTAGGCTTTTTGTATCTGATATTACTGTAGCACTTAAGAGCAGAAGCCAACCAGCAATCTTGTTTTTTAGGGCTGCATTTCCAACTGTTAGTGCTAGTTCATAGGGTAATAACTGTCAAGTTGTCAAGTATACAGAGAGAGTGGGAAGTGTGACAGGTGTGTTTTACTTCTCACTGGTTTTTATTTTATTCTTGCGTATGTCTGTACTACAAAGAAATCTATGCCCACATCTTTTCATAGGGGCCAGTGTTTTGCTGTGTAGAGCAGTGAGAAGCAGCCTGTGGAGGTACTGCTTAGAGTTGCCAGGAAAACAGAGTTATTTCTACTGCAAAAATATTTTCATAGGTCAAAGGCACTGCATGAATACACCAAATATTTTTACAGTGAAAATAAACAAGTCTGCATTTGTTTTCACCGTTAACCGTTTCTTTTCAAATGCTTTCCCCACCCACCTTCAATTCTCCTTGTATAGAATGTTTCATTTATGGCTTTAGTCTCTTGATAATTTCTGTAGGTCTTTTCTTACTCCTTGTTATGGGAACTTAATGAACATCTAATTGCTGTTTGCACAAAAAATAAGTGGGTTTTTTTTTTTTGCTATCTAAAACTTTTTTAATATGTAATTTTTTTTTACGAGTTAAAACTCTGACTTATAGGATAATGTGGTTTGCTGTTTTGTCTGTTCATTTGCTTACTCATTTCTCTAGCCCATACCTCCCAGAGACCCCTGCCAGAAAAAGCTGTTCTGAATGAACTTCCCAAGTTCCTTGGTTATGATACTACACCTAAGACTACGCGTGAAATGTAGTCTTAATGTGAACTCATTATAGATTTTATTCCATTTTTTCATCCTCATTATGGACACTTGGTTCAGCTATTTTATACTTGCATACTGTGCACTGAGGGCATGGCCTGGGAAGATTTTACCCTAAGATAAGGCTTAAATGTAAATTAAAATGTAATTATACTGGTAAAAATCTGCAGCCATCCTTATTCCAATACAGATGACATTAGTACTGAAGTTAGTGTTTTATCTGCAATGTTTGCCTGACTGACTGAACTCAGATCTCTGAATGAAGTTAATAATTGTGCTTAGGAGTCAGTAAGCTACAGGAAAGAAAAGGAAGAGAGGAAGAGATGGTATGATGGTAGGAAAATGTACAATAGATCCTAGGTTTTTTTCCACATCATACCATAAATTTTGTGAACTTACATGGTCTAAAACACTGTGCATGCATTTGTCGTTTAAGAGATTATAACTCATACCATCATACTTCAGCTTTAAATTTTATTTGGTATCTTTTTCTGTGTAGTGACAATTTTCTAGATTGGAATCATTGCAAGAGATTCCAGGATACCTACATATTTGTTTTCCTATCAATAAAGTAATTTGTCTACATTTTTATTGCATGGTTTCCATGACTGGAAACCTGCCTTAACTTTAGTAATTGGAAAGCATTAGAATTTTGTAATGATGTTCTAAGTTGATGCCTGAGATGTTTAAAAAAAAAAAAAAAGAAGAAAGGTATTGGTAAAATAGCTAACTTCGGGGGTTTTTTGTGGAAAACTTGCAGAAATTGATAAATAATCATGGCAAAGTATATTTAAAATGCCCTAAGTTATTGTAAAAGTTGAAGAAGGTACACGGTTTTATTCTTTCCACCTGTTTTAATAAATCAGAACTACAAAATGTGAAAATACTTTTTTTTTCCTCTTTCTATAAATCAAACATAGTAGGCTGAAGCATGTATTTTTAATTCTAGGTTACTAAGGAGGATTTCCAGACCTTTGATTATATACTTTGTATGGATGAGAGCAATCTAAGGTAACGTATGAAGAAATGGAACAAATTGATATGGATTACTTGTAGTGATGTCTCACAAGTCACTTTGAAGACAAATGTCATGTTTTATTGCTTAGCTTGTCTTGGGTTTTTTTGTTTCAGGGGTTTTTTTTGTATATGTGTGTGAATGATATCCTACTAGATGGATTCTTCACTTCTGAGTTTAATGAGCTAGAACTCAATGGTTAATTTGTGTGATACATGCCACTCCAGGATTAAAGACATGGCAGTTTAGTATGCTTTGTGCTATAAACGTGCAGCCAGTGCCGGTATAGTTAAGAATGAGGATGTACTTTCTTCATTGAAGTGATCTGTTTTTCTAATTGCATGGGATCTAAAAGACACTGTGTAAACTTGGAAGATTAGCTATGGTGTGGAGTTTTTTGTTGTTTTTTTTTTTTTTTCTTTTTTAATACAAATGGACTGAGCTCTTTAATAAGTAAAGTTGTTAGCTGGGAAAAATCTTGTTTGTTACTGTTAGCCATGTTCTAATTAATTGCGTCTTTGAGACAATTTATGCTTTACAAAATATTTGGTGAAGTATCTGCTTAATGTGAAAATTTGGATATCACTACCAAAATTTATATTTAATTGCATACATATTGATGATTGGGATTAAGGGGCTGAGCTTTAATAAACTGCAAATGTCAAAGGGCTTGTAAGGACTATTGTAAAGTTATTTAAAAAAAAAAAACACCAAAACCAACAACAAAAAACCTCAGAACGCTCCAACCAACAACAAAACAGAACCTAAATAAAACCCTGTTAGCATCATATAAAGATTTTTAGAAGCAGCACTACTTAACTGAAATAAGTATCATTTTGTTGAATTTTCTGGAATGTGTTGAATGACATCTCTTACACAGCCTGCATGAATGAAGGGTATATAACACTTGGCTTGATTGCAGCATGTCGGGCAAAGACATGACTAAGCTTACTTCTATTTTCACTTCAATTCTTAAATGGAAACTTACTTATGTATTAGCATTATCTGTGATATGAGCTGCAAAGCAGAAGAATTGTCACATCTATAATAGGGATATTGCTACTGCTATACTTAAGTTTCATCTTAAACTTGCACCCAATTTAGCCATTTCCCCTGGGAACACCTATTTGTAGCACTAGGAGGGCAAGCTGATTCCAGGTGGTGATGGAGTGCCTGTCATATTGGAAAAGGAAGATTTGGGACATCCCTTTTCCTTAGTACAAGAACCACCTGGCCCCCTCCTGCTCCTTAACTGCTATGCCAGGAGCCTTGAAGAAAATGATTAGACTTTTGTTAGCAATTAAAGGCTAGAGAACTTATTGCAAATCTGTAAACTTAAGCAATAACTTCTTAGTTGAAAGAGGATTCCTGATTTTCCTTCAAGGAAAAACAGTGTTGTGGTGTCACTGCTATTTCTAAGCTATCTGAAATTAATTTCTTAATCAGAATTAATACATAATTAAAATTTAATTTCTTAAAACTGATTATGCTTATGACTGTAAGTACTTACAGTCATTTTTTTTTTTAATGCCGCTCAATGAAAATGATGATTTGGTATACAGGTGTGTAATATCAAAAGAATTTACTATGTTCTCGCTGTTCAGCACTGTGAAAATCATGGTACTGAAATGCTTTTAAATCTGAAGATGGTGAGAAGTACATTTTAACTGCTTTTGGGATAATGGATGGCCATTTGTAAGTAGATGGGGAAAATACCATCTCAAAACCCAGTATTGTTTTATCAATGGGAGGCAATGTAGAAGAAAGAGGATGTGGCGACTGATGAAATGTTGTAGTATGTCAAAGGGAGGACACACAATAAGAAACAAAATAAAACAAGCAGTAGCGTAAAGACTCCACCGAATTAATTGAGTCCACACGTGTATTATTTTCCTGTTCTCTAGAAACAGTCATGAGCATCTCATGCTGATGCCAAAAATGTTCTGAAGAAAAATTCATGGGAAAACTTCATTTTCTTTTTTACAGAGATCTGAAAAGGAAAGGCAACCAAGTTAAAGACTGCAAGGCCAAAATTGAACTACTTGGAAGTTACGATCCGCAGAAACAACTTATCATTGAAGATCCATACTATGTATGTGTAAGAAATTCTTTGGGTTGCTTGATTAAAAGTTGTGTATGCGTAGTATAGAATCTTTCCTGACCCCACAGTTGATGTGACATATAATCTGATGTTATACAAAGATAAGTGCAAACATATTTTTCTGAAAATGACTTAACAAAACAACATAAATTATTGGAATAGGGAAGGAAAATATGTCTTTATGCTTATAACAATTATTTAAATTTAAATTATGCAATGCAGCTGTATTTTCAGTATTGGGTAAAGCCCTGGTTGGTCATCCTCCTTGCAAAGAGGGTGTAATCAGGAAAGATAGAGACCAAGACATGGACAGAGATGGTCAAAGAAATTGAATAATGTCAGCTGAGAGCAATCAGTTAGATTAAGATTCTTCAGTTTAGGAAAGAAGTGGATGAAAATACAGTGGGGTTCTGTAAAATCTTGATATCATGGGAAAAGGTAAAAAAAGAATTACTGTTCCTAACCCAAGAAGTTGAGAAGATCAAATGGCATTAGTGGGAAGTGGGTTGAAAACAAAAAAACTTACTTTTTTTTCCCGCACAGTGCTTCAGTAAACTGTGAAACTCAACGTGACAGGTTACTGTGAATGTAAATACTTGTAAGGGCTCAAAAAGAGCATGGAAGATGTACGTGAAGGAAAGTACATACAGGACTCTTGAGTACAAAGTCACAGTTTTCGACTGTGGAAATTCCTGAGCTGCAGGTAGTCCATATTAGGGAGAAACATGCAAAAACTATCACCAAGTATTTGTACTGTTCTTACTCTTCCCTAATGTCAGTCATTTGCCATTACTTGCAGTAGGAAATTACTTTGCAAAAATGTTTTGTTTGACCAATATTGCTATTCTTACATTCTTTTTCCTCTGTTCTTTTCTAGGGAAATGAAAAGGACTTTGAAACTGTTTACGAGCAGTGTGTTAGATGCTGTAAAGCATTTTTGGAGAAGCCTCATTAATGCTTCATGATTTTATTTCTAAAAGAAAATAATTACCTTCTCCTGAAATATGTAAGGCTTACTTGATTCAAGTATTTAAATTGTAAACTTACTCCTTAATAGGTTCAAAACTTTTTCAGTTTAATTTTATGTTTTAGCTTTTCTGTCATCTAATTAAAATATATAGAAATCTATTCTATGGATTAGATGATCAACCATTTTGTCACACATCCATGTAATAATAAAGTACATCATTCAGAATAAATTTATCTGTGAACTTTTCCAGTGCTTTCTCGCAAGCACTGCTAGATGTAACATCTTGCTGCTTTATGTGCTACACTAACTAAACTGAGGTCTTCTCATTGTGCACTTAGTGAGTTAACTTAAATCAATTTTCAGTGGGAGCCTGTGAGAGAATAGTTCATGTATGATAACTTGAGTGTGTCATCCTGGTGTCGTTAGACAGCCTTTGGACTGAAGCTGTTTCCTGTTGAGCCTGCTGGGCTCCCTGACAGGCATTGCTCTTAGTGCTATTTCAAAGCTTAAACAAGCAAAACGTGTGTCATCAGGATCCTGAGAAAATGTGTTTTTATTTCACTTTAAATGCTCAATAATTCAAAGAAGAAATATTTTTTTTCTAGTAGCTTTTTATACTAATTAAGATGGACTTGATTCAGAAATAGGGATTGATGTTAGTAGGATTTCTCTGGCTGGTCTTCCTGTGGTCTTGTGGTCAGTTCCTAGCATACGGATACAAGTCCCTGTAACACAGCACTTTGAGGACAAAACAGGTCATCTTAAAAGCCTAATTGTGAAACGTTCATTTTGTATCTCATAGTAGTAACATGCTCAAATTCATGCAATATAATCAATGCAAAATTTGCTATAATCCCAGTTGCTGTGTGGATTTCAGACAGTATTTTTAGATTTACTCAGGAGAATGGATGGCCTGTCAAAAGTGTTCTCTGAGAGGATAGTTCAACCTGAAGTCAGTCCATCTGTAAGACGATACAAAGTTAACAGAAGGCCAGTGAAAGTTCTGCTCTTGGACAAAAATTTAATGCTTTGTAAAATCCATGCCTGTTTTTTCTGAACATCCTTTCATTTCTGCCTTAGGTGATGTCAGTGGAAGTGATACCATGATAATTTTCCTATTTTGAGTAATACTGACATTGGTATGAGCTAGCATTACCACATTATCTGTAAAATCTCATTTATTTAGTCTTGGTTTTGCCTCTGCCTTCCAAACTAGTAGAGTAGTCCCTGTATTTGTTACCCACTCTCCCTTCTGGGAGAGGGGTGCATTTGGATAGAGGATCCCGTTTTTCCTAGGAAGGGAGGAATCCTGGTGTGACTCTGTGTGTGCTGCAGGCTGCGCAACAGGAATTAAGTCTCCTGGGACTCTTGTTGTAGGACAGCTGTGTTAGTGTTAGTGAGGTTTCTGGTTTGTGCTAAATTTCAAGCAGACATAAAACTTAAGAACCTGCTTACAAAAAGGCAAGTGGTAGATGGAACACTTGAATAGAGAAATCAGGATCTTTGTGCATTATTGCTTTACCAATAGTTTTGACTTTTAAAGAACAAGCGGGGAATTTGCAAGTTAATGGCTGTTTCACTTCAGGGACAAAGAGTAACAAATATAATATTTCGGGTCAGATCAAGCACTGATTCTGGAAAAAATTGTCTTCCATTTCTTTTATGAATCCTTTGACAAAATAAATGAGGGAAAATGAGGGGCAGTTAGGGACAAACCATCTTAAATGTGGTTTTATGCACTAACCTCAGAAGTGTAAGTATTTAGGCATAATCTAATGTTATTCTGTGCCAAAATGACCATTTAAAATATTGCAGTGGAAGTAAAATAACTCAGAAGATTGAGAATGTGATGGTTTGTGCTTTCTCATTCATGGCTGAGTAGGAATTGAATCCATAGTTTCCTATTTATTAAAGTTAAGATGTAAAAGTCTTAAATCTTTATCTTCGAGCTGCTGGGGTAACAGAAAGGAGATAAAAGGGTATGGTTGTTTACCTTGACTAGGCTTAGGAATCTTCCTCGAAAGTGATACTAAGTCAAAACTATTTGTGTTAAATTAAGTTCAGATTTTAAGAGTTTTAAGATTTAAAAGTTTCAGCCTTGAGGTACATTTTCAGCAAGTAATCTATTGTCTAAATAATTAACCAGTTCTACTAGGAGGAAAAAGCAGATTGATTAATTAACAGGTTTCTTTTGGAAGGAGGGAAAGGAGAGCACCATGGTACTTTAAAAGAATTTGTAGAATAGAAGAATACAGAACAGGAATTGCCTTCAGGAAGGACCATTGCATGGTACCGTTCTTTGGGCTCCAAGAGAAACAGTGAACATAGGATTAATACACAAGTCGTGTGTCATACAGATGACTAAGCTCTTAAAGGTTTAAAATACCACCCATGAAAAATGGTAATGTTGAATGAAAAAATACAGACCTGACTCCTCCTTCCCTCTCCCGTTCCACTGCTTGTTTTAGTTCAGGTAGTAAGCTTATACATAAGATTAAATTAAAAAAAAAAAACAAACTGCTATAGTCTAGTTGTGTCATCTGTTGAAGCATGCTAACTTGTGCTAAATCTAGAGAAAACTTCCATGGGGTTAATTTATTTATATCCATTTATTACGTCATTAAATAAATTCCTATTTTCTATTTACAAGGAAGTTTTGTAGAAAGTTTTTATCTCACCAGATTTCAGGTGTCCTACTACAAAAAAAGAAAGATTTATGCTGATTTAAACTCCCATGTTAAGTAATTCTGTGATCTGATTTCAGTCGGTGGAACCACAGGGAAGCACAGAGTTTCACCCAAGTTTACTGCAGGTGAGCAGATAAGTGAATCCTGGAGTAGCAGATTCCTTAAACTACCAGTTTTTCAGTATGCATACTTCCATTGAGATATGAAACTTTAGCATTTAGTGATCCCTGAAAGCAAATACAAAATATATACTTCTCCCTTACTAAATACAGCCATGTTCTAGGATGGGATTTTGTGCTTCTGCCATTTTTTTCCTTTTTTTTTTTTTTTCTTTTAAAGAGCTAGATGCTGAAGGCTCTCTAAGTGTGAATTTCAGGAATCCCAGCTCCTAGCTATTTCTCAGGGTGGGGAGGGGTGTATTTACTCTTGTTTTTATATTTTATTATTTGAATTGAGGATAAAATGGAAGCTTAATGCCAGTATTAAGATAAAAGTACCTGAGCTTCATCTCCAGATCACACATAAAAATTTTCTTCATGTTTGAGCCATTTTATTATGACAACTGGATTTAATATCTGATTTAAGAAAGAAAGGGAAATATGTGTCAAGTCTTCTTGAGCAAGTGTTCAGTGACTCCTTAAAAATTTTACAATACTGAAATGATTTTCACTGAATTTCACTGAATTTCTAGAGTTGGAAGGGACCATAGAGATCATCTAGTCCAACTCCCCTGCTGAAGCAGGATTGCCTAGAGCTAGAGCATGTTACTCAGGACTGCATCCAGGCGGGTTTTGAAAATCTCCAAAGAAGGGGACTCCACAACCTCCCTGGGCAGCCTGTTCCAGGGTTCCGTCACCCTCACCGTGAAGAAGTTTCTCCTCATATTTGAGTGGAACCTCTTATGTTCCAACTTGTGCCCGTTGCCCCTCGTCCTCTCAGTGGGAACCACTGAAAAGAGTCTGGCTCCCTCCTCCTTCAACCCTCCCTTGAGATACTTGTAGGCGTTGATAAGGTCTCCCCTCAGCCTTCTCTTCTCCAGACTAAAGAGTCCCAGCTCTCTCAGTCTCTCCTCATAAGGGAGATGCTCCAATCCTTGAATCATCTTTGTAGCCCTACGCTGGACTCTTTCTAGTAGTTCCCTGTCCCTCTTGAACTGGGGAGCCCAGAACTGGACACAGTACTCCAGTTGTGGCCTCACCAGTGCAGAGTAGAGGGGGAGAATGACTTCCCTTGACCTGCTGGCTACACTCTTCCCTATACAACCCAAGATACCATTGGCCTTCCTGGCCGCAAGAGCACACTGTTTACTCATTGCCATTTTACTGTCCACCAGGACCCCTAGATCTTTCTCTTCAGTAGTTGCCTCTAGCGGGTCCACCCCTAACCTGTATTGGTGCCTGACATTCTTCTTCCCCAGGTGCAGGACCCTACACTTTTCCCTGTTGAACCTCATGAGGTTCTTCTTTGCCCAGCCCTCCAGCCTGTCCAAGTCTCGCTGGATGGCAGCACAGCCCTCCGGGGTGTCAGCCACTCCTCCCAGTTTGGTATCATCAGCAAACTTGCTGAGGATACACTCTGTCCCCTCGTCCAGGTCACTGATGAATATATTAAACAGCACGGGTCCAAGTATTGACCCCTGGGGGACTCCACTGGTTACAGGCTTCCAACTTGAACCTGCTCCATTAATAATTACCCTTTGGGTCCTGTCACACAGCCAGTTCTCAATCCACCTCACTGTCCCCTCATCCAGCCCATACTGCCTCAGTTTCCCAATGAGGATGTTATGGGAGACAGTGTCAAAAGCCTTGCTGAAGTCAAGGTAGATGACATCTGCTGCCCTCCCCTCATCCAACCAACCGGTTATGGCATCATAGAAGGCTATCAGATTGGTCATACATGATTTACCCTTGGTAAACCCGTGTTGCCCACTTCCAATAACCCCCCACTCTTCAACTTGTTTGGAGATGACATCTAGTATGAGTCTCTCCATCACCTTCCCAGGGACAGAGGTGAGACTAACTGGTCTGTAGTTCCCAGGGTCCTCCTTCTTGCCCTTTTTGAAGACTGGAGTGATGTTGGCCTTCCTCCAGTCCTCAGGCACCTCTCCTGTTCTCCACGACTTCTCAAAGATGATCGAGAGTGGTCCAGCGATAACGTCTGCCAGCTCCCTCAGCACTCGTGGGTGCAACCCATCAGGCCCCATGGACTTATGAATGTCCAGTTTGGCCAAGTGGTCCTGAACCTGGCCCTCCTCTACTAGAGGAAAAATTTCCTCTCTCCATACCATCCCCCTTGCCTCTAAGGCCACAGATTCATGAGGGGCAGTCCTAACAGTGAAGACTGAAGAAAAGAAGGCATTCAGCAACTCTGCTTTCTCTGTGTCTTCCACTACTAGGGTGCCCACCTCATCCATCAGTGGGCCCACATTATCCCTAACCTTTCTCTTGCTGTTAACATACTGAAAAAACCCCTTTTTGTTATTGTTAATATTGGTGGCCAAGATGAGCTCCACTTGAGCCTTGGCCCTTCTAATTTTCCCCCTGCATATCCTCACCGCTTCATGGTATTTCTCCTTATCTGCCAGGCCCTTTTTCCAAAGATTATAAGCCTTCTTTTTGTTCCTGAGTTCCAGCCGAAGCTCTCTATTTAGCCAGGCTGGTCTTCTTCCCTTCCTGCTTGATTTTAGGGACTTGGGAATAGCTTTATCTTGCGCCTTTAAGAGTGCCTCCTTGAAGAATGACCAGCTTTCCTGGGCACCCTTGCCCTCGAGGACCATCTCCCAAGGGACACCCCCAATCATGCTCCTGAAGAGGCCAAAGTCTGCCCTTCGGAAGTCCAGGGTGGCAGTCCTGCTGGCCCCCCGCCTTGCTTCAGTGAGAATTGAAAATTTTATCATTTCATGATCACTTTGTCCAAGACGGCCTCCAACGTTTACATCCCCCACAAGACCTTCCGAGTTAACTATCAGCAGGTCCAGTAGGGCACTTTCCCTGGTCGGTTCCCTCACCAGCTGCGTTAGGAAGTTGTCTTCCACGCATTCCAAGAATCTCCAGGACTGTTGCCTCTCTGCTGTGTTATATTGCCAGCAGATATCAGGGAAATTGAAGTCCCCCATGAGTACAAGGGAGAGTGATCGTGAGGCTTCTGTCACCTGCCTATAGAATACTTCATCAGTCTTTATATCCTGGTTTGGGGGTCTATAACAAACTCCCACCACAATGTCTGCCTTACTGGTCTTCCCCTTGATCCTTATCCACAGGCACTCGACACTGTCATCATGCATATTGCTAAGTTCTAGGCATAGAAGACTGTTCTTAACATAAAGGGCCACCCCACCTCCTCTCTTTCCTTGCCTGTCCCTTCTGAAAAGTTGGTAGCCATCAATTGCAGCACTCCAGTTATGCGAGTCATCCCACCACGTTTCTGTGATGGCAACTAAATCGTAGTTTTCTTCCTGCATGATGGCCTCCAGCTCCTCCTGTTTGTTGCCCATGCTGCGTGCATTCATGTAGATGCACTTCAGCCGGGCTAGTCTTCCCACTATTTTTCTGGAAGGGCTGGCACATTTACCTAATAGCATTGGTGCGCTGTTCCTGGGCACCACTTTGGTAGCCCCGGTTCCAACCCCGTCCCCCTTCAAATCTAGTTTAAAGCTTTCTTGATAAGTTGTGCTAACTCCCGTCCCATTGTGCTTTTTCCCCTTTGGGTTAGGCTTCCCCCATCTGCTGTAAGCATTGGACATTTACCGATTATATAGCCTTGCAGTATCATGAATAGACTGCAGATCTTTCAGAAAAAAACAAAACCCTAAGAAAACCAACCATTTGTCATAAAAAGGATTCAAATTTATAACGCTGTAGAGAATTGGAGCAGCCTTGTAGTCTGGGCATTTTGGAATTGGAACACACAGATCTGTCCATCCTCACAAATCCATAGAGAGTGCCCAAATTATTGGACTCTTCTGAGGTGGGTGTAGCTGCTTTCTTACTCCATTGAACTCTTATTGCAAAGACGTTTAAGCGTGGGTAAATGATAGTAGCTACGGAAAGATAGTTTGTTTATCTAGATTCAGGGAACAGAAAGCAAACTGAGAACAACTTAATACCAAACACTTTATTACTTACACTTGTTATTTACAGTATTTACATATTGCACGTTCGCTGGAATGTTTTATACATTTATTATATAAAGTAAATTAATGGCAGCTTGTGTTTGTGTACAAAATCCATGCTCCACTGTCCCAAAAAATATGTCTACTTGGAATTACGTTCCTGTTTGTCATGCAATTTGTACTCCTAGGGTACAATGTGACCCCAATGCAAGTCTGTTTTAACCAAACTTTTAAAAAATTGCATAAGCATGAAGGATATCAAGTGACCACAACTACTGTGGAGCAGATCTTTAGTAGTTCTAGATATACAAACAAACATTCCTTAAAATTGTAGAGTTAAGCAACAGAACATCAATTCTCTTGGTGAAATATTTGTGTTTACGTAATTTTTGGCAGCATTACACATCAGTTGTAAAGTGTGTTTTTAAGTATGGAGCATTAACTACTACTGGCAGTTATGCTACTGTAAAGAATGTCAATCTGCAAACTGTTGATGACATACAAAATGCATGTTAAAAGAATTATGGGAAGTAATCTGTCAATCTGCAAAAATAAATCTCTTGTTCACAATGGAATATGTTATAAAGGTAATAAATTCTATTTCCCTGTTGGTTTCCAAGGCACTTCTCTTGGTTCTTGGTGTTTCTTTTCATGGTAATAACATCTGGCGGATTGAAAGAAAGAAGAAAATTGCCTTTCATCATTTTTATACTCACATACATGTGTTCAAAAATGTATTTATCATATTGAAAATAGTAAATAAAACTGGAGAATTCAGTAATAACTTTGGAAAGATCTAATAGTGCGTTTCTGATTTAGCTTAGTTTAGTTCGTATCAGCCTGACTGCTAAATTACTGTTTTGTTCATTAATGAAGGCTGAAATTTTGGAAAGTGTCTCTTTCTGTGCTGGTTCATTTTAGGTAGACAGATTTGGAGAATACAGTTCTACCTATTCAGAATGTGCTCGTGGTTATGTTTAGCCTGCTCCCCTGAGCGCAGCTGTGAAGTCAAAAAGTGAGTAAACCTCAAGGACACTATGAACAGTTTGCAAATTTCTGTCTTGATGTCAGGAAGCTGTTGCTACAACATCCAGATCTGTCACGGTAGGGTTCGAAGGATCCAAGGAGGATTTGGTGTTTCATTGGGCGCATTAGTGAAGAAATTTGAATTCATATAAACAAGAAACAAATAGAAGTAACTTTCTGAGATTGGGTCATATAAATATAGCCCCTGGGACGTGCAAACACTGAGGCAACACTAACCAACTTGGAGCTGCAGTGGTTCGATTTGCTGCCTGTTCTAGTAACTCTTCCCAGGATGGTTTTTTGGAATGAAATCAAAACCATTTCTATGACACTGGTGTCAAAATCACTGATAAGAAAATATAAGTTTCCACATTGCCTATGTTAGTATATTGTTTGTACTCTAGACATGTTAATTCAAAGGTTGAACAGCGAAGGTTTCTATGACCCTTTTCCCCTGCACCTTTAAGCCTTCTGAGAAAATGTATTGTTACTGTCTCTTGAGTATGTGTATCTAGAAATCCATCCTCTCTCCAGTAGCTTCTGAGTCTGTTTTCTGCAACCACATTTTTTGGACAGGTGACCATTGAATGCTGCAAGTCTGTCTACCCAATTCGTGTCTTTCTAAGAAAACCTGCTAATGCCCTTATTTTGAATTTAAAAATGCACTATGTCTGATTAGTCAACAGGAACTGCACAGGTGGAAAAACTGCTTTTACACGCAAACAGATTCAACTGAAGCTTGTGTGTCTCAGACTCCAAAAGTCCATGTGGCAGATAAAAACCAGTGGTTCTTTGATACTAGAGTTCTGCCGATGTCATTTTTCACAGTTAAAACTTCATATTGTCTGTCTGAACACATGTAACCGACTTCCCCATGAACAATGTGAATGCTCTGATATTTTGAGTTTCTCTACATTTTCTACTGTTTAAGTATAATTTGTAATAGAATCATTTGAATGCAAAGTCAGACAGACTTGACATAATCCATTGGAAATCAAGCCATTGGTGCATACAGAAATACTTGTTAGTAGTATTTAAACATATTTAGTTTTGCAATTTTTTTAAAGCTATTAGGAAGTGTAATGATGTTACAGAAGACCTTAATGTAATTTAGTTTTTTTCTGGCTTTGCAGATAGGACAAATACTTCTCTTTTTTTTCCCAAATATCCTTCCTTAGAGGGGAAACTGACGTGTATTTTCCTTGTCTTGCATTTTCATCTAGCTTATTTTCTGTATGTGTGCCCCTACTGTAGCCTATTGAAGCTGTGATGTTTAAAAACAAATTAACATGCTTTAGGTTTGATGAGTATGTGGTACAACTGACCAGTTAAACACAGAATTTAATAACTGTTTTTTTCACTGCTAATGTTAATGGGAACATGCAGCTCACTGAGGGTGAAAAACTGGAAGTGGTTAGGATGCTCATTTGTCTCCTCGACCTGCTTTTGTATGGATGTCTGATCAAAAGCTGAGGGTCTTGGATTCCCTGTCCTCAGCTAAATTGTAGTTTTCTAAATCCCAGGCCTTTTCAGAAACCCTTGAAAAGGCCCGGGATTTTTAGCATTGATCAATCTGTTGTTGCCCTTTTTTTTTATTTCACATAGTCTCCATTATATGCATCAGTCTAGGAAAATTAGACTGGAATTTAGCAGAAGGCTGGCAGGTAATCTTAGTGGAGATACTGAATACTATTTGACTACAGTCTGTTGAGAACATGGGTAGTTATACACCTTTCTCCACTTTCATTCGATTCTTAGTTCTCCTTTGTTAATGCAAAGATAAAAAAAAAGAAAACAAAACACAGACTCAACCAGCAATACTAGCTGAAATGAACCAAACCACACAATTTTTCCAATTTTAAAAAGAGCAAATGAAATCTAATGTAAAAGAGTATCACCGCTTTCCAAATTTGGTTCTAGTCATTATCTGTGCATGACAATAGTGATAAACACTGTAAAACAAAGCTAATCTGTGTACCAGAAGAATTTAGTGTTCTAAATGCCAATTTAACCTTTAAAATACTGTGGCAGTAGGATTTTGTAGCAGAACTTCCACGTGCTAACATGAAACAATTCCTTGTCCACATATGAACGCCCAGGGGAAGCCTGCCCTAAGGTGAGCAGCAGATCACAGAGATCCATGGATCGAGGAGGATGAAGCTCTAGGTGTCACACCTGGTGCTAGCCATCGAGATCCCAGAATTCGGTGGGATTTTGGGATCAGAATTGCCCCTTAATAAAACTCAGAACTGCCTCTTATTAAAATTGTACTATGCCACAGTAGTAACCTTGTACGTTGGCTGCCTGTTTAATTCAAAGCAAGAGTTCTGATAAACATCTTAAATGAGTTACCTTGGGAACTACTTCCTGTCACCAAGCAGAGGTGATTGAACCTGTCATGGGAAGTTGTGTGTGATGGGTCAAGCTATGCTTTCTAGGAAAAAAAGGGTCTGCCTTCACTGAATAATAAGCAAAACCCACATCTTAATTCCACCTTTGCTGCTTTTATGAAATGAAAGCGTCTGACATTTCTTGAGTGCACTCGATGTTAGTCTGAATAAGCAACTGTGCAAGACAGAAAGCAGTTAAGGCTTATTGTTGCGAAGCACTTGAAGCAAAACCTAACAGCCCAAATATTATTTTGGTTTAAGAACAGGTTTTTTTCTATATAGTGAATATATAACATGGTGTACAGGAATGGGATATTTACCGTGGTATTTCACTTTTCTCTTTAAAGTTTCAAAGTTTGTCTTCTATTTTCAGCTTTTTTAACACACATGACTAGTATGGTCAATACATCTTAAGTTTACACAGATTTGTCTGAGTTCCAAAGGAAATTCCAGTTATCAGTGTCCTTTAGCTGATTAGGAATTTAAAGAAACTTTGACCTTTGTATGTATACATACTTATTCTTGCCCTATCATATGCTTCAAGCAAGAAATACTGTTTCTATTGCTTTTCCTTTAAATATTTTTAATTATATCTGCTTCTCTAGGAAACAAGCAACTGGTAGGTTATTTTTAATACACTTTTTATAATATATAAAGCTCGTTTTCTGTTCTTAGCCCGAGATCACTACTACTTGCACTAGTCTTGTATTTATTAGTATAAAACTGTCCTAAGTTTTATTTTGTTCATTTGAAATAACTGTAGAAACTAAAAACCCATAAGTACTTGTCTGTATAGTAATTAAATCTTGAAAACAGAAGTCTATAATCATGCAGCCCTTAGTCCTTGACCTACTCCTTATGGTACAAGGAGGTTTTGAGCGTATGTTATAAGACCAGTGTTGGTCTCCAGCAAACACTTAAAGAGCAGGTAATGGAAAAGGGAGGACACCAAGAGTAGCATCTGCAGTTTCCAAACACAAGCAGTAAAATCTGTATGACTGTAGCCACAGTGATTGTGACAGATGCTATCAAAGAGGCCACATTTTCTTTCTCGGATTCGCTACTGTTTGTCACAGGAAATCCACAAGTTCTGAATTGTGAACTTTAGGTAAAGACTTCAGGAATCTTGTTCCTGGCATTCCTTCCCTGCTGCAGATACAGACAACATAAGGGTTGTCAGATGTATCTGCATGCAGAGGAGCAAAGCAAGCATGGAGTATGGGAACTATTGGGAAACTGGAGAGAAAAAGAGGCTGAAGGACAGGACAGGACAGGTCCAAAAAAGAGCATCAAGGACAGGACTGTAACACAGCTGTGTTGAACACCAGGAGGAGAAGGTGTTAAGGAATAAAACTGGTTTGGTGGCAACCAGGGAATAAGTTGGTACGCTAGAGAGCCATCTTAAGTAAGAAATGGCTTTGAATTCTTCTTTTGTCTATGTGAAGTGGTACTGTGTTCAAAACTTTGCAACTTCTTGAAAACACCTTGGACTAATAACCATACGCTTTGTGGAGAAAAAGGACGGTTTGATAGGTGGAAAAATACAAAAAGAACACTTTTTTTTTTCTCCAGCTCAGTCTATGAAATGATGAAAACAAATAAAGCCTACATTACACTCTTCTGTGAGAGGGGATGTCTCACCCACACAAATTGAACTGATGCAGTGGAAGAGCCTTGAGGATGAAGGATGCTTAGTTTTATGGAGATACCTGTGGATCTCGGGGCATGTATGGTAGAGAACAGTCTTACTTTCTGCTAGTTGAGACTGCTTAAGAGAGCTGATATTCTGTGTGATTTGTGTGTGTGCAAAATAACAGAATTGGAGGCTTGTTATGTTGAAAAATACCTCCTAGTTGAGCAAAGGAGCTGTTTGCCAAAATGAGATGGACTTTTTTAAAATAGACTCCCAGCTTGACATGTCAACTACTTTAGTGACTGTTCCTTCATATGATGAGTTAGTGTTTACATGATTGGGCGTAAAGATACAGATAAAACTTTGTAAGGAAAGGGATAAAAGAATTCTCTGCTTATTAGTATTGGTAATAACATAATTCACCTGCCCATCACAGGTGGCTATCATGTAATTTATTCCTTGCTTTCTGAATTTTACAATTGACAGGTTGAATCCTTGGCATTTGACCTAGTTAGATCAAAAGATTTACCTATTTTCTAACTCTTATTAGTCCTAATTCTATATGCAATTGTATCCACGACTCCATCCCTGAACACGTGATGAATGGGTAAGATTCCTGGCCACGTTTGTGTGTTTCAAATTGAGACAACAAGAAATGGAGCAGTTACTGGGCATTAGAAACATTCTGTGTTGAAGCCAGCCTGGTTTAGGTTTATTTTAGGAAGTCAAATGGAAAATGCTTAAGAAACGTTGAGGAATTTAGCGTAAAGTCAGGCTGCTGAATTGCATCTAATGATTTAATATATTGCTTCTGCCCTTGTTATTAGAAAAGTCTTTTTCTAATGTCTAGCTGGAATCCTCTCTTGTTGCAAAGTTAAACAAATTATGTCCTATTTATCCACACTGGATAGAGAGAATGGCTTATAGCCACTTTTTGTGAAATTGAATAGCTCCATCGTGTTTTTCTGCAGTCGTCTTTTCTTTAGATTAAATAATCCCAATTTTAGCTGTTCTTGTAACCTGAGTTTTCTAGGTTTTTGGTCATCCCTGTTGCTCTTTGGACTTTTAAAAGAAGCACCCATATGTCTTCGTGGTGTCCTTAATTAAATACAGTAGTCCAGCAACAGTGATTTTTTCAGGTGTTTTATAAACAATGTTTCTATTTATAAATTCCAGTATGTTGTCTTTTCTCAAGTGTAACATGGTTGACACGCTCAGTTTGTCATCCACTACAACCCCTATGTTGTCCACAGAACTATCTAGTTCTTAACTTGCCATGAATTCCTGCACTTGATTACTCCCGCATGACTTCATAATTCTGCTCTTTTCTTTAAATTTTATCCTGGTTTTAGACTATTCAGCTAATTTACCAGCTTATTTTCCATTTCTATCACGGTTGCTTCTCCTACACTACTGTCATCCATAAATACGCTGTTGTTGTATGAAAAAAATAGTTAATGAAAATACTGAGCAATACCATACTCAGAATGAAGCTGTGTGACTCTCAATACATTTTTCCAGTTTGACACTGAAGAACTAATAACTTACTTGTATATTTTTTCCAGCCATTTTTACATGTATCTTGATCACGTTTCCCTACCATGCTTGTGAGAACGCCATGCAAAACAGTGGCAGTGCTTTAAAAAAATAAACTATGATGCTTAACATTTATCGCTTTTTCTCACCGATTCTCTCCACAAGATGTGTATTTTACCACTGAGTTAAAATATCTTGGTTTCAGAGAATCTGTTACTGACAAATCCCTGTGGATTATTATTTATCCGTTTTTCAGAGGTCGCATTATTGGTCTCAGGTAAGAGTTGAATACAGATTGTAATTCAGTCCTCCTGTATTCTTATGGGTCAGTTTTCTAGAAATACAGATAGTCTGGAAGTACTTTTTTGCTTGTTTGGTTGTGTTTTCTGTTTTTATTTTGGTGCATGATGAAATTCCCAAATTATTTGTGGGAATTAGAGGTACATCTAGGCAAAAAGGGAAGGAATAAACCCATAGACATGAGAGGTGAGCACACTGTGAAAATCCCAGGCAATCTGAGTAGTTTAAAGTTAGTTTATCAATGCTATTAATAATACATTTTAATTTAATTACCATAAAAGCACCTGCAACCTATCTGCATTTATAAAGCTTTCATGTGCATAGCTATGTATATATTAACTCGTACTAAAATGTACATTATAGATCCACAGCTGCACACATCAAAAGGCTGCTGCTGCCGATACAGGCAATTGTGTACTGAGTCAAATCTTGAAAAATAAGCTACAGCTGTTGTGGTTTTTTTCTGTAACAACAAATTCACTGTCTGCTAACTGTATGCTGCTATGAATAATTCACAGCTGATGCACATGGACTTTTATATAATGACTTCCAGTAGGGGGTACCCTTTATTTGTCACCAATATCTGCCAGATTAAGATTACTTTAGGGGACTTTAAGGGGAATAAGTTGCTTTGAAAGGGGAATACCTTAGCAAAAGGACAACTGTTAATACACTCCCATGAATTTTCATGTACGAAACACAAAATCCACTGCTTTGCTATGCAGAGGAATGTCATTGCTGCCATGAAAAAGCTTACCTTTATCCTTCCATGCACATTGGGCTTACTGCCAACCGAGTAAGAAGCCTGGCACATCTTTTATAGTCTGTCATGAAAAAAGAGCATAAATAGATTACTAAAGCAACCAATTTTGCTTTTAAAAATAAGAACTGATAATAGTGTGCAAATTATTGTCGCAATAAAGTTCAGTGAAACCTTAATTTGCAACAGTATAGAAATCAGCTCCTTAGAAATGGAGCATGTAAAAAAATCTGCAACTGAGAGTCCTGTCTAATGGCACATAACACCCTCCACACCTGATTTCTGCACAGGTACTATCTAAACAAATAGCATGAATGTGCTGGGAGGCTCTCCAAGTGTATGTACGTGTCAAAGTGTATACATCTGTGTCTGTGCTTAAGTGTGGGATCAAAACATGCTGTTGTAGTGTTTCCATACTAGAGGAAGAGTAAGTAGCACTCATCCAGCGCTGAAATCCAGCCCTCAGCGAGCAAGTCCATCAACTTAATATTCTGAGTAATGCAACTCTCCAATAAATTTGCTTCCTGGTAAAACTGTGAAATCAGACATCTCCTAGTCATAGGAATGTTGAGTCCAGCCAGAGTAGGTGACCATACCATAAAAATTCATTCATAAGGAGTTTCATCTTAAAACTGGTATTTTTTTTTTTTTTTTTTTTACAGAAGTCCTATTGTTAGTAGTTCTGATTTTAGGGACCTTCTACTTTTTGGTGATTTCGTAATAATGGACAGAACCAATGCAAAACTACAAAATTAATTTTGTGGGAGCTGGTTATGGCCAGACAGCAGAGTAGATTACTTTTCAGGTGGGAATGCTGCTTTGCTGTACTAAGCAGTACTAGGTATGCCAACTACATGTGTTCATCCTGCCTGCCCCCATGTTGCAGCATCACAGATGCTTTTAATTTCTTTGGTGTTTGGTCTTTGAAGTTCTACATAGAATGAACAGTATTAGCTGAAATCGGGATATTATCAAATGGTAACATCATCCTGTGCATGAAAAATTAAAGCAGGTTGTTTACCTCATTTTCCTAGAAGAAAGTTACTTCAGGGCCATGCTAGTCACTCCCGTCCAGTGACTGACGTTGATTTTCGTTAGGCATTATTTCATTAATGAGACACTAGAGATGCAATGTTACCAATCCCTAACTCACAGCATAGATATGCTGTAACTGCCATTCACACAAATTACCCTCCATTATCCAGACATTATGCTGGTGGGTATGTCACCTGTCAGGAGGAAAAAGCTAATTCAGACTTTAAAACCAACAAGTTTTTAGCTTCACAGCTTGGAGTACTCATTAGTGCTGAGTCAGATGATGTTTGTGTTGTGATTCTTATGAAAAAGGTAATTTGCTTGTTCAAAACAGACTAGTTATGAACAACTTCCATCGCCATCCATGTAAACGGAACAGGATCTGGTTAGCCATTATGTAGAAGTCCTTATCTTTCGAAGGTATTCCTAATCTGAAGCCTTACAAACAGGGAAAAAGTCTGCAATTCTTACCAAATATGCCTTTAAAATATATTGGGCTGAAATATTTATTAATACTTGAAACTTGGAATCTGTAACTCTTGTTTCTATTCCCAGCTCTGCTACTGACCCAACTGGTTGACCTCAGACAAGTAAAATAAAGTATGCTTCCATTCTGAAGAGGCTGTACTAAAATAGCATCTACTTACTCAACATGCCCACCTCAGTAGGAATCTGGGGTCACATCTACTGACTGATGAGTGTCAATGTTTGATTTTATATTTTTTTAATTCTCTGTGCTGCTGACACTGATGAGCTACCATAAGCAGAATTTGCTTATTTGTGTCCTTTGACGGGTTTTTTTTTTTTCACTAAGCCTTAGGAAGTCACACTCTTGTAATTCACTGAAAATAAGGGGCACAAAGATTCGCTGTCAAGATCCCTGGTAGATTGGTAGCTGACCAGTCAAAATATGTTCTGCACACATAATCAATGAGAAGGAAATAGCCCCACCTGGATTTCTGATCCTACCTTGGATTTGCAGCACTAGAAATGAAATACGAGAGGCGTGCGAGAGGAGTTGTGTGTTCCTACAGACAGCAAACACCTTTGGTTTGGAACCAGAGGCATATCCATCAGTACCTAATGAAGCACCTGTTCTACACAGTGTATTTGTAGTGAAAAAGTGGTGTTTTCATTATCTTTGCTGTAATGCTGATGTTGTAAAGTGTACTTAGAACATTATTATAGAGCACTCCGAACTCTTCATTGCAAACAATGGATTCTAACATTCTATCGCTGCCGGTACCTCACACAGCTATTACATTTTAGAGTTTTCTGCTGTTTTATGAAAGTCTCTGGTTTTGGCACTTACATGCTGGGATGGTGCAGTCCCTTGTATTGTGATAAAGCCGATGAAAGTGTTTACTACATTTTGGGCTAAAGTAGAGTGGACCTGAAATATTAAAAAAAAAAAAAAAAAGAAAAAAAAATTATGAATCAGCACAGCTCACAGGAAGTGTAATGCAGGTTATGGGATGTATGTGAAATGAGGGATAACAATGCAAAATTAAAGCATACCTGTTAAGTGCTTTAAGAACTTGTCTTTCATCCTCAGATCTCTGGGAACTATTTCTGTTGGACAGAAAAAGGAACAGTCACTCTGCTGCACTGGAGCTGTGCCTGCCAAGTATAGTATGAGGAGAGGGAATAAACTCTGTCCAGCAAACATCACCACTCTGTCTTGACAGATGCACAGAGGCCAGAGTCCTTTGCATACAGTAGGATTACTGCAAGCATTTGTTTTACATAAGAAACCACTGTAAAATGCACTGTAAAACACACTGCAATGATGAAACAAGTAATGTCTGTTAGGTGTGTAGTCATTAACAATTTTGACAATTAACTAAGAGTCAGATTTTAGAGCCCTAGTTTACCTAGATTTAAATTCTTCCAGAAATTTTCATTCATGATTGCTCAGAAATGGCATATTCCCCTTATGGTAAAGACCCCAAGACATACTCAAGTTTGGGTTTGTATCTTCTAATTTTCTTACGCAAATGTATCCAGGTATGTGTCACAGGTATGTTTGTACAAGCACTGTCCTGCTGTAATCCTGAAACTGGACTGATCTCCTTACAGGAATCCTTTCCTCCCCCCCTCTCCCTCCTCTAGCAGTAAATAAAATTCACAGGAAATGATCCCAAGCAAATTGCTCTCTCCTGGCTCCCTGCGTTTGTGGTTTACCGCCTCGCGTTTTGTGTTCAGCAGATGGCAAAATGAAACTGGTTTACTGAAATCCATTTTAGCCCTAACCCTTGCTTGTGTCTTCCTGATTTACAGCTATCTTTGATTGCTTTCCGTTACGAACTCTATGCTGATAGCTTAGTGCTGATTGTGTATGATACACTACATGGGGCTTTATTTATTTGACCATAAATGCCTGAGCAGCCTTTTTCATTCCCCTGGCACCTCTTATCAGATATAAAGCAAAGAGCATTTCCATCCACATCTGATTCACTTGTGAGGTTAGACACTTCTCGAAAGTCATTCTTCATTTACTTCTAACTTTAGTCAGTGTAAGTAAAATTGACCTTATCATATTTGACCTAATTATGTCACGAAGAGCACTAAAAACACACATGCTTCACTCAGAAATTTCCCGTGGGACAGACTCACTGGGAAAGTGATGCCAAAACTGAAATGAAAGACTCTAAGCAGTAGTTCCTTTTCAGGGTTGCTGGGAATAAATCCATTATAATAACAGAATGAAAAGTCCTGATTAGGAGTCAATGGCACCACAACCAACTAGTCTGCTCTGAAGTGGGTTTATTATTTACCTAGATAACCGTTCAGCACAAACCAGACGTTTTGCACCAATGGGCTGATGCAGGGTGGCCAAAAACTATGCCCATGTTCCACGTGGAGATTTAGTGTTGTGCAGATCAGGGTCCCCTGCTTAGTCTGCCCTTCTTAACTTTTAACTGTTTATAAAACAAAATGTTCTCACTCTGCTGACCTTAAGTGGAACAAAACCGTCTTCCTTTATATATTCATTAATTACCCAGATGGAGAAGTAACATTTTCATGACAACCACCAACAAATGCAAATCATGAGGACACTTGAATATGAATAAGAATGAAGAAAAGGTACCACGAAGCTTTACGAGATCAATAAAGGCAAAATAAATAGCATATTAGCAAAATGAAAGCTAGACTGGAAAAAGGTGAGTGTTGACATCTGCTGGAAAATATTCAGAAAGTCACTTCCAGGAGGAGGGGTAAGATAAGCAGTAGTAACGCTGTAGGGGGTTGGGAGTGACAGTGAACAGCAAATTAGACACGGCAGCAGGAGAAGCTAAATTGACTTTCAACTGGACGCACAGAAACACAGCAGCCACCCATCACTGTGTACCACTGCTTCTGCACGGCTCTATACAGCCCTGCACCTCCGGCAAACCCACGCAGGCTCTCCCTGCAGGTCAGAGAAAAGCCATTCAAACGAGCAGAAGGAGGACCGCAGGGGTTGTCCCAAACTTGTCACAGCTTGTACAGTGACAGGGGAGTACTCCGTTTCAGTCCCTCAGTATTTCAGAGGTGCTACCTCTGGAGTACAAAAGGGACTCACAGGCAGGGAGAAAAGTTTAGTGAAGCTGAGCTACAGCCAAAACTTCTAGAGGTGAGATCTATAAGGACATAGGAAATCCTGCGGGGGAATTCTTCCTAGGGTCATTTCCAAGCAACAGTTAAACCAAGCACATTTTAGGAAGTGGTAAGCTTCCAGGAAAAAGAGAATTTTCATCCCTTATTTCTTTGATCTCAGCCTATTTCACTCTTCACTTATTAATAGGTTTTGTACAAAGCCAACACACAGGAAGTTGGACTTCCAGTCGAGTGCATTATCCAGAGAGTAAGAGTCCCTGAGATGTGAATGGAGTTTTTCTATTCCAAATCTGCCGTCTGTGTCAGTTTCTGATACCAAAGGAAATCTGCAGGTATTTTGAGCAGTGAATTCTTGATACAAAATTAGTAACCTGATGTGATGTCTGATTCACCAAGGCACCCTACAGAAAATGAAAAGATCTCCTAAGTCATGGACTGTGACTTACCAACTCTCTGCTCATCCTGGTATCCTCCGTAGTCGGCCACTTCCCTTCGGTCTAAGTTATAGTCGTGCTTGGAGAAGTACTGCACCCCACTGTCCTTCTCCAGGTGGTACCTTTTCAGTTCCTGAATGATCTCCATGATCAGATTTAAGAGACTTTGCCTGTCCTTCAAATCTGCTGAGTCGGCTTTCTCCTTGCAATATCCTGCCGAGAGCATCAAGAGCACCAGCCCCAGCAGCCCAGGAGACCTCAGTCCACTCATGGCAGTCTGACCCCGACGGGTGCACGGCCGGATGGAAAGGAAGGGTCCGCTGCTGTGGGAGTATTTCACTGGAAGAGAAAGCGGGGGGTGGGTCGGAGGGTGTGGGGGGGTCACTCGTGG